GTTTATCTCTAATTCCATTGCCAAAACTATCTTCTCTTTTACTTCGACATCATGACATTCTGTTTCTACTGTGTTTCAGGATCCCATGGAATGGGAAACAAGACATTATGATTGACAGGTACTGCATTTCTGATTCTATCTTTCTCAAAGTTCGGACAGTTTATGAAGGTTCATCCACCTTATTGTCTTGTTTCTCAACATTCTTTTTGTAGATTTGATGGACGTGCTCTTCTTGATTTCATAAGAGATCCTGATTCTAGAAGATTCCGAGTCATTGAGAAGACAGAGGAAGAAGAAGAATTAGAAGAGTTTGTTAGTTTTGAGCGATACCGGGATTTAATTAAGCATCGACGTAGAGGATGTCGGTACTTCTTTTGGTTTCATGATCATATAAAATATTTTAAATTATTGACTTTAATAACTACTGTTATTGACAAGGCAAATCTTCAAGAATCACCAGGCAACCTTTTTCTAAGTCATTACCATAAGTTGGTATTACTTTAATCCATGTTTTACAAGCTGCTGTGGTCTATATTAACAGTTAGTGATGAAGAAGGTCTGCATCATGTTAACCAAGAGATGGAGGCTAAAACTGCTGCTTTATTTGGATTAGACAGGTTTGAAATATTTGTACATGTACATGATTTTTTTATATCTTAGAGCAGAGCTTTTACATTAAGCTTTTTGGTGTCAAGTCACATCAACAAACCAAAAAAGTTAACAGCTTTTCAACAAAGCTTATTTATGGGGACTACCAGTCTACCATTATCAATTTATAAAGCAAATGAATAAAACATTATTAAAAAATAAAAATACGAAAAAGCATTATTCACTGAGCTTGCAAGTTTACAAGTAATGTGAAAATGCTTTGGAATGAAAAAGCACCACAGTAGTTTTTTTTGGGTGCTCTTATTTTAACTTTTTATATATTTAATAGGTCTCAAACAACCCAAGCTCCTGCAAACAAGGGTTCTTATTCACAAGTGGGCTTCTCATATGATGGGGGTGTGAAAGATGAAAATCAAGATTCAGATGATGATGATGACGATGATGATGAGGATGAGGATGAAGATGATTTCAATAGTGATGATAGCAATGATGAAGGGATGGATATAATTGCTAAAGAATTTGGAGTGAAAAGGTATGGGTGGCTTGTATACATGGATAAAAAAGCTAAAGAAGAGGAAAGGAGACAAAAGGAAGTTGTGAAGGGAGACCCTGCAATTGTATGTATACTATATCACCTTCTACATTTGATTTGTCTTTTATATAGTTGTAGAAAATCACTCGATTTTTACTTAAGTTTTGTGTTTTGAAATTGTAGAGGAAACTGAGTCGTAAAGAAAGAAGAAAAGCTTCTCAAATTGAAAGAGAAAGGGAGAGGGAATCAGCACGGGTTTCTGGTAGTCGTGTGCTTCATCATGATCCATATCGGTACATACTTTTAAATAAAATAAGGGTCTTTTTGGTCTATTTGGTATGATGGAATGGAATTAATCACAAAGGAATGGAATGTGTTATTACATTTCAATATCATGACACAGGGAGTCAAGAAGAAGTCCAACATATGAAGCTTATTCACGTTCTAGAAGGTATAAATTTCTAGGATTCTTTTGAACAACTTATAGAGACTTACAGCAATAATTCAATAACTAAAACAATTGAATTTACAGATCAAGATCACGATCATACTCTCCATCATCAAAATCAAGGAGACATGGTCGTGATGATTCCGAGGATAGTCACCGGAGTAATCCAAGGGCTCCAAAAATAGAATACATAACAGAATTTGGAGGCTCACCAGATGGTGGTGGACCAAAGCTCGCTGGATACACGCCTCCTTCATCTCCTCCATCATCACATGTTGGTGCATTAAACCGGTCGGAGCACTCTTCTAATTTATTGCATTGTCGAATCGGCGAATTTTTCTGTTTTAGGAGGAAGCTTCCTTTCATAATCCCATTCTTTCTTTCTCCTTGTTAGGCTTCCAACTTTCGTTATAATTCCCGAAAATGACCCTCTGTTTTTTTTTTTTTTTTTTTGTAGGCCCTCATCTGGACAAATTCTTGAAGCCTTGCATATTGATCCTGCTTCTGGTGTATCACTCGATAGTGAACGGAATGCCAAATTGACAAAACCGTCCCTCGGGTATTTTTTGTTTTTCTGCTTTGAGTACAACATTGTATTTGTCATATTTCTTATGTTTTTTTTTTTTTTTTTTGTTGTTATATGGTAGATCTTCATCGGGATTAGCAAAGTTAACGAAAGCTTCCGGAAGCGGGAGCCTTGGAAAACCACAAGGAGAGAAAAAAGAAACACCTCAAGAACGACTTAAGCGGATCATGAGCAAACAGTTGAACAAACAAAGTGATATTTTATTCTGTTTTAAATTTATATCATAATTTGAATTTTGGGGTGATTGTTGATGATGATCTGTAAATGTAATGTGTTTACAGTTAAGAAAGATACTGCTGCTGAAATGGCTAAGAAACGAGAACAGGAGAGACAAAGGCTTGAGAAACTTGCAGAAACTAATAGATTAAGTAGTAGATACAGGCATAGAAGCAGAAGCAGAAGTTACAGTCGCTCGCCTCCAAGGTTGTTAAATTTTTTTAGAAATTTGATTAATTATATATATATATATATATATATTTTGATAAAGTTAGGTAAAGATGTTTGTTTAATTATTTGCAGGAGATATAGGCGGAGTAGAAGTCCAAGTAGGGGGAGAAGTTCTAGAAGGTACCATTCACGGTCTCGATCACGGTCTGTGTCCCCTTTGCGGGCCCGCTCTCGTTCAATCTCTCGCTCTCGCTCCCCGAGGTGATAACAATGTGTTTGATAAAAACTAAAGAGGGATTATTACTTTTGAAGTTAATTTGGAAAATCTGATTTGACCAAATTTTGCAGGGTGCGAAGCCGGTCAAAGTACTAATAGTAATAGGGTAACGAAGTTTGAGGAAGGTTTGAATGGTTTGGTTTTGTAGTTTGACTATTATATGGTATTTATGTGGTGTGTACTTTTGTTTGATATATGATATATATTGTTGCCTTTGGATATATGACAGACAAAATCTGTAGTTATGTTGAGGGCTTGTTTCTCATTTGATGTTTGCCTCACTGGACATTAGGGGCTGTTTGATAAAACTGTAGCTTTAAATTTTAGTGCTGAATGATTTCAACTTCTTAATGGTTAAGAGAAGGTATGGATTCCTAACGTCTACAGGATTTTGATTCAATCAAGGAGATTGTTTTCTCATTAACTTCAAAAGGAGACTAGGAATGGTGGTGGATTGATACCAGTTCGTACGTTAATATAATACTTAATATGAGAACTGCTAGGAAAATTTTCACAACTTCAAAAAAAAAAAAAAAAAAAAAAAACAAAACAAAACAAAAAACAGATCATCCTTTCACTGGATTAAAGAAAAAAAAACTACTTATTTAAAATTAATTCTAAAGTTTGTTATGAGCTTCTTATAATTAATGAAACTAGGTATTTAGTACGATGATACCTATAATTTTGTTTTTTTTTCTTTAGTAATCGTTTTATTGTTTATATTAAAGTTATATGTTTTTTGTTTATTTGAAATATTTATGAGTACTCATAATCTTACATTATTCATATTTACGAATTCGGTGAGTTTTAGTTCTTTCTTTTATCATTTAAAACAAAGATTTTCTAATGTCCCATTGCTTGCTTAGAATGTGCTACTCTTACAGGGTTTTTTTTTTTTTTTTTTTTTTTTTTTTTTTAATAAATTTTTATTAATAACGAAAGTTAAAACACATTCACTCAAAACAGTTAAAAAGGTTGTCCTCACTTCTTCAGCCCGAACAAAGGAGTTGAAACAAAACTTTAGAAGACATAACATTATGAGTTAACGAAATTATTGGTATTACTTTAAGCTTAAAACAAAATTTTATTATTAGAAAAAAGAAAATTCTTTTTCATATTATTAAAACGGCCTAAGCTTATCATAAAAATCCTGAATCGTGAATTAATTTTTTTTTTTGTTTGGTTTTTTTTAGGCTGATGTGATTTGCTAAACTACTTTTTATATGGCCAATATGTATGTAAGTGTAAGCAAACGTACGTGTACTATTACTTTCGGTGGTCGATGCACTGAAAAATGGTGTGGTTGGCTTCTCGACATGTGCTGTTATTCTTACGTTAGTTTTTAAGAAAATCTGTGAAATGACCAAAAAGAAGGAGATCTTTAAGAAAAATAATCAAGAATTTTTGATTTTCAGAAAATGATCACGACTTCTGCAGAGAGGAGTAGGCCTGCCAGTTCTCGATATGACCTACAACACGACCCATGATACGATACGAAATAAATGGGGTTGGGTCGAGTTTTTCAACCCGCCTACCTGCTAACCCACCAACCAATTTATTAAACAGATCATATTAAACTTGAAAAAAAAAAAAAAAAACTTAATGTCAAAATTGAAAAAAATGAAAACTTAATATTTTTTGTGCAATTTTATTTTAATTTTGACACATATCATACCAATTCACCACCATATAACCAAATCATATCATGTTATCATGTTACATCTTCAAAAATTGACACGCCGGTGGGTAATCGGATAAACAGTCAAAATTACGAAAAATTAAAAAACTCAGTAACTAAATTGAAACAAAAAATAACTCAGTATCTAAATCAAATCCTTATAAAATCATACTGATTTTTATTTTTTTATGTAATTTGCCATATAAAATATAAATTCGATAAAGCAATGAAGTGTAGGAACTTTAGTTTGATGGGTATCTTACTATTGGAGTTGCCCTCGGTATGAAAACAGAGAAAAGAAGCGGTGGGACAACGATGGGGCCATAACCCACATGGATGCTGTCATGGTGACCAGACAGCTTTTGGCTCCAATATCCAACTTACAAAAATCGCAGCAGCTCCGATATTTAGCATCATCCGGGACAAACCCTGACCATTCCAATAAATTCAGATTCCCATCAACATTTCCTCAAACACCTTCCTTGCAATTTCAAATAACCAATAATATCTCACTCCTTCCATAAGGTCACTGCACCCAATCTACCCTTCTTCTTCTTCTTCTTCTTCTTCACACCACTCTACTCACCGGTGACTCCACTTCTGAAGCTTCTCCGTTTTTATCAGGTAACGGTTTCCCGTTCATATGCATTTTCACCTTCTGTTACGTGTACTACTTGGTCATTTTCGTTCAATTAAATTCTATTCAGCTTTTTCCTAGCTTTATGGTTGTATGATTAATGTCAACTATCTGATGTATTCATTAATGTGCTTTTAATTCCGTAATCTCCCTTTCTTAATCGTAGAAAACGCGTTTTTCTTATCCTGTTGTGGGGTTTGTTACTTTGATTGTATGGTTTCGTACTTGGAACTTTGAAGTATCTGTACCTTCACGAGCTTTCCACTGGTCCACTGATGACCACACGGAATTCAATTTACAAACTGTTGTTGTAGCTATCACCCTACGTATCGATGCTAGGATGATTTTGCATTTATGTTTATACCCGATTGATTATGATGGTTTGGCTAAAAAAAAAATGATTTAAGCAGATGGATAATCGTTTTACACGATATACAACAATTATCTAACCCCAGGTTTACTTAAACTGCAGATTTCTCTCGATCAACGCTCGTTTATGTAGTTTTCTCCAAATCATAACTCGCTTTAGGAGGTATAAGAATCAACCGAAACAATGCGAGAGTGCTATTCGCCAGAATCCAGATCCACGAACAAGGATTCAACTTCATTTCGTAATTCTGGTGCATACACAAGCCCAGGTACTCCCGATTACGGGGATAACCATGGGAGAGGATTTCAAAAGGGTTGGTGTTCAGAGAGGATACCATTACCAAACACTTGTAACAGAAGGCGTATCAGTGCCAACATCTTAATGCCCTTCAACAATGGCAGAACACTACCTTCAAAATGGGACGATGCAGAAAGGTGGATCACAAGTCCAGTGTCTGGTTCTGGTTCTGGTGCATTCAAAACTCAAGCACCACCACCACCACCTCAGAGAAGACCTAAGTCAAAAAGCGGACCACTGGGGCCCACTCCTGGGACTATTACATACTCTTCAAACTACTCACCTGGTTTCCAGTTTCTTGAAGGTGGAAGCACGAATAATGTGTTCATGGGTTCACCATTTTCAACAGGTGTTTTGGTACCTAATGGATATTCTTTTCATCATACTGGTGAAAAGATTGATGAAAACAATGTTACTTGTGTTGTCTCAAGGCGAGATATGGCTACCCAAATGAGCCCAGGGGACAGCCCGGATGGAAGGCTGCTCCTCTCCACCTCTCCTCCCCCAATCCCTTCACCGGTGGAGGATCGCCGCCAGCAAGTCAGGGATGTCCAGGTGGACAAAAGAGTCACCATGACAAAGCAAACGAAAAGAAACAATAAGAGAGTTGAAAAGAATCAGTCAACAGAGATCAATGATCTGGCTTTGACTTGGAATAATCCTACAGAAGGAGAAATGGAATTGTCAAAGTATGTCTCTAAGAAGACTCTTAACATTTTTCATCAAAATCTTGTTTTTTTCAATCAAAATATACGTGTGTGTATGTAAATATAATTATTACTTAAGTGATGGATTTTGTTATTGTAATGTGCGTGAAGGCTCCAGAAAGAGGAAGCAAGGATTGTGGCTTGGGAAAATCTGCAAAATGCAAAAGCAGAGGCATCAATTCGAAAGCTTGAGGTGTGTAATATGTTCCATTTTCATCATCAAAATTAACCACAGATTAATTACTTTTTAAAACAGAAGTAAATCTGGTTATGTCTTACTTTACAGATGAAATTGGAAAAGAAGAAATCAGCATCTATGGAGAAAATCATGAAGAAGCTTACAATTGCACAAATGAAAGCTCAAGAAATGAGAAAAAAAATGTCAGCAAATGAGGCTCCTAGAACATCTCGCAAGCTCATATCCTTACACAGATATCCAAAGATTTCTCTCACTTGCTGCTTTTTTGTTCATTAATCCTGCATCATCATCATCCTTAAATCAGGTGATAGGGTAGATAACTATGTTACAGTTTGTGCTTCATTATGAAAATGGTGGACTATAAGCATCTTCTTCATGGGGAAAATGCAAATTTTGTAATGAGTGGATGTCCATTGACTCTTTTTAGAGCTTTTAGTGAAGGTAAATGGTATATATGCATAATCAATAACATCGTTTTTAATGAATCTAGGGTAAATCATTGCAGAAATGATTTGGAACATGTTATTTTGCCTAAAGCTATAAACACATAAATACATGCAAATGTGTTTATAGTAGATTTGATGACATTTGTTTGTATGTAGATGACATGCTAGTTTTTGTATCAAGCAAAACCAAGGTATATAAAACAAAGAAGTAGTTATCATCTAAATTTTCATAAAGGACATGGGGTGGGTGGGTGTGAGTAATGTGATAGTTGGACAAGGATTGAACTAGTTAACAAAGAGATTGTTATTACATAATCACATTATTTTGAGAAAATTCTCAATAAGTTTAATTATGGTGATTTTCTTCCTTCATCACTTTCACGGATGCTAGTGTGAAATTAATGTTAAATACAGACAATTTTGTATCATAACGAGAATACTATAAGACCATTGGTCGCTTGATGTATGCCACAAGTACTATGCATGATATTGTTTATGTCGTGGAGAGGTTGAGTAAATATACTAAGATAACTTGGGACCTGAAATGTATTGGAAAACATGATACTAAAGGAATGATGAATAAATATGTAGATGCTGGGTCTACTCGTGGGTAGATCACGCTGCCTGACATTAGGCTATCTATCGGTCAATTTTGCAAGGCAATTGAGCCGACTGTTGATTTTTTCATGTATTGTTTTTCAACTAATAAAAGCACAATTTTCGTTGATTTTGTCAAGATTTCTCATATTTGGATAAATTTTGGCAGACTCGTAAGATCTTGAATAAGCACATATATTTCGACCTACATCTTATTTTTGTGATACCTAAATGGGCTACTATCAACCCATTTGTACATGACATACCCTCGTAGTCTTAAAGCTCCAAAGGAAGAGTAACCTTACTAAGCTATCTTCATGCTCTAAAGGAGTAGGGGTGTTTACAAATGAAAGCGAAAAACCAATGGTTTGGTTTTTGGTTTTTCTAAGTGTTATGACAGAAGTATACAGTCAACAAAACTAATAGAAATAAAACAAACGAAATTCAAATATATGTAATATACAATAGTTAGTTTACAGAAAACATATTTAAATGTTGATGTTTACAGAAACACAAATACGAAATTATGTAGATTGAGGCCTGCAAATTGCAGTGTCCCAAGACATAAATTTTCCTGGTAGAGATCTGTTTAGAGGATACAACAATCAATCCAAGATATGATTTTGAATTTGTCGAAATTTCTATGTCCCCTTCATCTTCAAAGAAAACGGAATTGTAAGAGAATTTGTGGTGATGATTTCTGTAACCCTCCACAAATGACAGAAAACATGTATTTATAGGTATTGATTATGATAGTTAGAAACTGCCAAAATCGAAAATAACTCCCAAAAAACCTGTCATTCAGTAATTACGAGTTTAATAAAATAAAAATTAATTTCGTAATTAAAAAAATATTTAATTAATAATGAAGACCCCAAGAGCCCCAATGCCTATCTTTTGACCATTAAATATTTTCTTGATATTAGTCTATTTTGAGACCAATTAGGCTAGTCCAACACCACAACCCAAACCCAATATGCTTAACCCATTACTAGATCCATTTGATTAAATGAGTGGGATAAGACATAAAAAGTGGGAAAATGTTTTTTCTTCCACCAATATGGGATAAGTCTCACATTGTAGTTTTGTTGTAAAGCAAAGTTCCAACAATACCCCACATTTTCTATTCAAACTCTAAGAATACTCCGCATTTGAATAGAAAATAAGAGAACTTTGATATTTAAATAAGGGAAGTAAGATATGACATGCATCTGAATAGGTGTTGTAAATCTTGAACCTTTCATAGCAGTTACCACTTAGATCTACTTTGTGGGTAGTGAACTAGAGTCTTGAACTAACTACTTTTTATAGTAGAATAAAAAACAAGAAGTATCACACATATCATATCTAAGCATAAATCATTTCTTACCGTTGTGTTCATTTCGTTCGTGAACAATCCTTTCTTCATGAGACTTTTAGAGAGCTAAGCCATATCAGCTCCCAAAGATGTGACCTCACATCCATCTCACATAGGTAATGCTAATATGGAATAATCCTTACTATTCCACTATAAAAGCTATCAACATTATTAAGAATAAAAAATTCATCCTTGTATCATCAACGAAAAAACACAAAATAAATATCAAGGAGTGAGCATACCTTTGTGTTAGTGCTTCTTTGAGTCTTCCCCAAATAGTTGTCCTATTGAACCTAGACCATGAGATCTCCAATGTTGCTAGGTTAGGTTTCCGCCAGGTGGTGACTCACTATGTTGGCTTTAAGCCCATTCCCCTCGATGTGAAGACAACTTTCTCTCTACTAAGGCCTTTTGTCAAAGGATCAACTATATTTTCCTTTAACTTTATGTAACTAATGGAAATGATTCCATTCTTTAGCAAGTCTCTTATTGTAATATGTTTGCGCCTAATATGTCTCGACTTGCCATTATATATATGACTTTGTGCTCTAGTAAGAGCAACCATACTATCACAATGTATGCCAATGGCAGTAACAGGTTGAGGCCACAGAGGAATACCTTCTTAGAAGCTTTTAAGCCATTGAGCTTCTTCAACAACTTTATCTAAAGCAACAATCTATGCTTCCATTTTAGAATGGGTATTCATAGTTTGCTTAGATGATTTCCAAGAGATAGCAGCTCCACCAAGAGTGAACACATATCCACTTGTGGATTTTGCCTCTGAAGTATTGGAAATCCAATTTGCATCACAATACCCTTCAAGAACAAGAGGATATCTAGTGTAATTCAATCTATAATTCATTTTATGCTTTAAATATCTAAGCACCCTTACTAATGCATATCAATGATCTTTCCCAGGATTGTGGGAGTAACGACTCAATCTACTTACACTATAAGCCAAGTCCGATCTTATTTAATTCATAATATACATTAAGCTACCAAGAACTTGAGTATATTCTAATTGAGCTACAATATCACCTTTATTCTTCTTTAGATGACTAGAAGCATCAAATGGGGTGACAACCGGTTTGTCACCATAGTGTCCAAATTTCTTGAGTACACTCTCAGTATAATGGGACTGAGTAAGAGTATAACCATCTGGTATTCTTTGAACTCTTACTCCAAGGATCACATCTACTACTCCCAAGTCTTTCATGAAAAAGGAGGAGTGCATCATTTTCTTGGTTTGATTGATCACATCCAAATTAGTACCCATTATAAGCATATCATCCACATACAAGCATATGATGACACAAACATTCTTGTATTGTTTGACATATTCTAAATCCATTAGAGAGTAAAGTGTTGTCAAACTTCACATTTATCACCCTCGGATATGTTTTTCATTACCTACCCTTTCTCGCCAATAAGACTAATGAGAACCATCTTCTATTTGTCACCTTGCATTTATAAAAACTATATCAAGATAATTCATATTACTTCTATCTCTTTACTAAGATGTTGTTTTCAAAACGGAATACACAATCCTAAATTTCTCCAGGGAATTCTGCAGTGTCTTCATTGGTACTACAAATATTGCGAATGAGGTTGTTACTCATGGTTGGGAATAGGTAATTCACCTTCCCGTTATCTCTATCTTCTCACAATTCTGAAATCTTATGACTTAGTGTATGCCATAGCTGAAAATGGTAATTATAAGTTAATGAGACTAAAAGATAGTTGACCCTTCAACATGCTGAATTGCTACACCTTGATTTAGTCATTATTTTGGTTTATTTAACATTTTTGTGTATCAGAACATGTCTATACTACGTTTATCTAATTAAATATCATGAAAAATCAAATACATGTTGTAAGCATCTGCCCTTATATGATTGTGGTTTGCCTATGTCAGCATTCGGACCTGGTTTATATTACCCTAACATTACCCTCGTTATTCTTCTTTCCATATCTCTTTCTATCTCTCTCTAATTTATCTGCTAATTTATCTTTCCTTGGTAATGATACTCATTTTTTTGTTTAAAAAGAGATGAAGTGATTAAGCATGGTGAAATGAGTTGATTTAGAAGTATACATTCGCATGTACAATTATGTCAAAATCTTGTTTGACTACAGGTGTATTTGTTTAAGTGTTTTGCTGACATTTACGATTATATGTACATGATTCTTAAAGAAGATCAAGTGATAGGCAATTGCAACATCCATGTTTCAAGTTATGGATGGACACGTCTATCTTGTCAGTTTGTATGTAGTGTATTCTATTAGAATGTCTGTTTAAAATGTATTCCATCAGAATGTGTTTATATGTATATAAATAATTCGTTAGTTCTAATCTTCTAATTACAAACAAATTTGTTCACTTGTTCAGGGTTCTTAAAGAAAATCAAGTGATGTGGACTTTTTCTATTATGGTTGGAATCAAATGAGCTTACAAAAATATTTTTTCTCAAGTGTATTTTGGATTCGAAAAGAAGATTAAACGCATTTTGGATTCTGGAAGAAGATCAAATGTATTCTGGATTCTGGTAGAAGATGAAGTCGTTACAAGATGGAGATGATGATTCTTACACAATTTCAAGAATGTGATAATCAATAACTTTAGAATAAATATAATTTATATTTATAGTTGTATTCTTTAAGAATGAATGCATATAATGATTTTAGTAATATTGATAACATAGAATAATTTTTAATTTCTTTTAAGATAACCATAATCACATTCTGTTAGAATGTTTGAATTAATAGAATTATTATCTAAAAATAAAAATCAGATTTAGTTAAGAGAATTAGTTATTCCACAAAATCTGTATTTTTTCTTTTTTAAATTTACATTAATTGACTAAAATACCCTTATCATGAATTATATGTCATTTTTCAATATCTTTAATTAAATAATATGTATTAATCACTTTCTTAAAATAACTAAAATGATTGATTTACAATCAATCTTACATTCATACAATAGATAGTTAAAATACAATAACCTAAACACACACACACACACACACATATATATATATATATATATATATATATATATATATATAAATGTAAAAAAAAGATGTAGCAAAAAATGGTTAAGGTAACAAATACCATGAAGATTATTTTTCCATACTATTCAAATATATATATATATATATATATATATATATATATATATATATATATATATATATATATATATATATATATAAATGTAAAAAAAAGATGTAGCAAAAAATGGTTAAGGTAACAAATACCATGAAGATTATTTTTCCATACTATTCAACTTCCATATGTAACAACAAAAAAAGTCTTTCATGAAATTTGAATCAAACACATAGGTCTTATAGACCATACAAAATATTTATGCTAGTCAATTTCAAAGTCTCTTTTTAATATCGTGGAAAATATATTAAACTTACGGAAATAATAATTACATGCGAGTTTCAATGTAAGAAAAAGTTTTTTCGTATCAAAAAAGTAATTTCATATATTGACAAACCTTTTTTTGGCAAGGTAGGTGGTCAGATATACGTTGAAAATGTAACTATGTTCATATACTCTCGCTTCCAAATATGATCATTTGTTCAAAATTACCAAATGGCTTGTAGTATATTGTTTTCTCTTTTTTGAAGTTGAGAGTATCTGGTGTTGCTCTCTCTTCTTGAGGTTGAGGGTTTAAGTTCCGTTGTAGACATATATAGATTTAACGAGTAGTTTAGGAGTAAACTAGATTTGCTGTTTCTAAAAAAAAATT